AAAAATTATTGGACTAATCCATAAAAATTAATGAATGTGACCTGAGCATCTTTTGGGCACAAAGAACAATACTGCTGAACTAGTGTAAGATGTTTACAAAGAATATAATCTAAAATTTGATCTTGGTAGGATATTTTTGTTTCTTGTCCTTTTTTTAAAATTAAAGTTAGCTATTTGGATATTCATAAATATAACTTTAATTTAATATTGTATATAATTTATCCCACATAATCTAACTGATGTAGAATTGTGAAGGATTCAGTCTTTTAAAAATAAAACAAGCTCTGGCCATTGTGGCTCAGTTGGTTGGGCATTGTCCTATGCACCAAAAGGTTACTGGTTGAATTCCTGGTTAGGGCACATTTCTGAGTTGCAGGCTCCATCCCCAATAGGAGGCAGCCAATCAATGCTTCTCTCTTCCTTTCCCTCTCCCTTCTTCTCTCTCTAAAAAAATCATTAAAAGTATTTGAAATAATAAAATAAAATGAAATAAAAATACAAATTCCTGAGTATTCCCATAAATAATAAATCTATCCTTTCAATTTGTTGAAAATTACCCTTGCCACTCTCATATATATTTATATTATATTAAACATATAGATTGCAAATTAGCAATTTGATACAAACCCATGTAAATCTACACTCTTAAAAGATTCCATGTGTTTTTAAGTAAAGCTAATTCAGCAAGAGAAATAGTTGAGGACATCTAGTGAAATTCACTTTAAACGTACTCTAGTACATCAAAAATAAAACCGCTTGCTATCACGACATGACAAAATGCCAAATCTCCATTTACAATTTTAGAATCAGGTAGTAAGTCCCAGAATATACTCACATTTATTGTCCCATAAGTAAACAAATATAAGGACACAAATTTCTAAGCATTTTTCAACAGACAAGAAATGTAACAAGAAATGTTACATCTCTGCCAAAAATACGAGGGAACAAATCATCCTATCTAATAATAGAGAAACATGGTAATTAGCCGTACCTCCGCTACCCTTCCCATTGGCTAATCAGGGCAATATGCAAATTAACTGCCAACCAAGA